TGTATCATTTATATGCGGTCATGTGACTTATTGTTCAGCCGCGGTGCTGGCATCGTGACAACACTTCATCCACCCTTAAGTATTATTCCGGTAGAGACGGGTACCACAGGTTCTGTCTTCTCTAGAAGATTTTACTAATATGATATTGTCTCCCATACCCTTAGAGCCATCTCTCAAAGAAGGATGAACTCAATAAGAAACATAGATAAAAGTATTATTTGTGTTATGTACTATTTCATAAGATGCTTTGGTACGGACTCAGTCACACAAGTATTCGGTTCCATGCGCCATGAGCCGTCCAAGAGGAGGGGCCCGGGGCCGGGGGCCTGCCTGAGGCGGGAGCTGAAGCTGCTCGAGTCCATCTTCCACCGCGGCCACGAGCGCTTCCGCATTGCCAGCGCCTGCCTGGACGAGCTGAGCTGCGAGTTCCTGCTGGCCGGGGCCGGAGGGGCCGGGGCGGGGGCCACGCCCGGCCCGCATCTCCCCGCACGGGGGTCGGTGCCTGGGGATCCCGTCCGCATCCACTGCAACATCACGGTGAGGACCCCCGTGCGTGTGCCTCCATAGGAGCCCCCTCTCGGGGACTCCAGGTTCCCCCACACAGCTTTTTTATCTCGGGAGACCTGGGAGGCCGAATCCCCCCTCGGGGCTCGCTCCTTCCCTGCAGGTCACACTGTGTCCGCCCCTGGAGGTTCTGCCGAGCACCCAGAAGCTCCCCCCTGGACCCTTCCTAGTGAGGGACACCCTGACACGCAGCGCCGCCACTGCCCCTCTCCACTCACCCACCCACATCCCCAGGCTCAGGATTTGGGGTTCTCCACGGCTTCACCCTGCCACCTGGGAGTGCCCTTTGCTTCCCCTCGCGCTCATTGCCCGGTTCCAGGCCTCTGCCCCGACCTCAGCTGGAAGGACTTGGTCGGGAGCTCGACACGTTTCAGTGATGCCCCCTCTCACGGCACCTTTCGCTTAGGACGCGGCCACCTGTGAGAGCCCTGCCCAGGCGCCTCCTGCAGCCCCTCTGCCTCTGCATCTACCTGGTGGTGGTTTGCGGTCCGCTGACCCTCTCCTTCCTCTCCTTCGGGTTCCCTTTCATTGTGGTGTAACCTCTAACTCTCCTTTTGCCCCAGCTGGGAGCAGATCTGCCACTCCCTCGCTGTTCCCTGAGGATCTCTCCAGTTGTCCGGGGTTGTGTGTTGCCTTTCCTGGTAATGGTGGTCATGTTTGAGGACGATCCCGTTCCGAACAGAAACGGTTCCTTTTCTCCCCAGTGGACATCATTCCACCCTCGGCTTGCTGGGCTGGTGCACCCGCACAGACCCCTTGAAGAGGGCTGGCCGCTGGTACTGTGTGGTGGAGCACTTACACTGCCTGCTGTGATCACGTGCGGCCCTGGTTGAGGACTCGGAGACCAGGACTTGATCCGGGCAGGCAGCAGGCTGGGGAAAGACAGGCTTGTGGATTGTGTGGGACTCTGGGTCCTGATTCAATTGACATGGTTCCTGTTTTCTGTCCCTTTCCTTCATCAAACCGGGTCACGGTTTGGCGAGGCAGGCCGCGGCTCAGATTGGAGGGTGTCCCACCAAAACTCGCATGTCCCACTTCTTCTTTCTTCTTCCATCCCCGCCAACCACACACATCACCTTTTTTCCTACTGAAGTAGGAAGTTAAGATTGACGCACTAGGTGTGGCTTAGGTGAAGACAGGGGCATCTTGAATCATTGGTTTCCCTCCGGCGCTGAGGATTAGAACCATGGCGGAGCTGGAACCCCTAGTACACGTGGAAATGGTTTCCTTGGCAGATGTGGAAACCTCAGGAGTTAGTTTTGTTCCTGAATTTAGCTACTAATTCCTTACGGGTAGGTTTTCCCCCTTCTACCTGCCCTTCCAGTTGCCAGCGGCCATCTACTATCTTTGTCCCTAAAAGGAAGTTAATTTAGAAGGTTCTCGGTTAGACACCCTGTGGCCCCGGTAAAGGAGACTTGGCCTGAACTGGCCCCTTGCTTTAGGGAGAGGGGGAGTCTGGTCCGGCTGCATTTGGCACTGTGGCTCAGGAATGCTGGGAATGTTCGCAGCGTAGGCCTCTTCCAGCCTGCCATGTGGAGCCCTGCATCCTACGCCTGGACGAAGAGGGTGGCAGGTTCCCAAGAGAGAGGTGGGGAGAATTGGCCTTTGAGGGGTCCTGTTGGAAGTGGGGTGTGGAAATTCTGCTACCCTTTCACTTTTAGATTCTGGAGATACAATCTAGTTTTCAATCCCTGCTTCCGCAGTTAAACTGGAAGTGGTCTGTAGTCTGCTTTTTTCACATCAGTGTGATTGTGGTGAGGTGATCTGTTCCTCAGCTGATCGTGGAGCTTGAAAATCAGAAGAGGACTTGGTGCTGGGTGTGGGAGAACTTCAAGTCCAGAACCTGGATAGGCCCCTCACTGTTCTGAGTGTGGCTGTGCCGCTCTCTCTTCTCATGGCCTAGGGTTCCTCGGAAAGCTGCCGGATTAGATACTGACCTGCTGAGCTGGGCTTCCATGAGCTGGAGAAAGAGCAAAGGAACTAGAAGTTTTGAGGAGTGGAGGGCAGGCAAAATGTAGCTTTTCCCAGAGCTGCCCATCTTGACCGCTCTCTCTGCTCTTTTTCCCGCCAGGAGTCATACCCTGCTGTGCCCCCCATCTGGTCGGTGGAGTCTGATGACCCAAACTTGGCTGCTGTCTTGGAGAGGCTGGTGGACATAAAGAAGGGGAATACTCTGGTAAGGGGGCCAGGCTGCTGAGGTTGGGCCCACATCTTGAAGGCAAACTGTGAAAGGGAGACACCTGGAAAGTGGGTGGTGCAGTAGGCTGAACTGTGGGGGCAGACTTCTTGGGGGAGTTGCTTGCAAAGGACAACGGGGGAGACCTATGCCAGCCCCAGGATGGGTCCAGTAAACTCTCCCACAGCTACATGGTCCATAAGATTAGTGAACTAGGTACCAATTTGGGTTCTGAGCTAAGAGCTCATCCATGTACCTGTCCAGATTGGGGTTGGAAAGGAGTATTTGATGTCACTGTGGTCCCCTACCCCCAGCTATTGCAGCATCTGAAGAGGATCATCTCCGACCTGTGTAAACTCTATAACCTCCCTCAGCATCCAGATGTGGAGATGCTGGATCAGCCCTTGCCCGCAGACCAGGTGAGGAGCCGAGGAGCTCGGGCCTTGTGCAGTTACCCCACAGACGGCACTCGGGCGATGGAGACAAATCTGCAGCAGTTCCTCTGCACCCGACCCCTCCAAACACACACACACGTGTTGTGACTCTTGGCTTCTTTTCCCCCCAGATGGGAATCTAGTTAAATGGGACGCTAATAGCTTCACCTATCAAAACTCACTCTCATGGGCAATATACCTTATGTGGAGAAGAGGGGGCGGGCCGGGGGGGGGGGATTTTTCCAGTAGAAGTTGGTGGCCATTGGGGTCTCAGGCCCCTTGTTAAGAACCAAGAAGCAAGAATCCCTCTTGGGGAAAATAAACTGGGATTTGTGAGGTGGGTGACAGAAATAGCCACTCTGCTTCTCTTTTATACTTTGGCATATGGTAGGAGGAGAGTAATGGGCTGCTAGTGAAGTCATTGCCTGGGCTGTTGCTTCCACTCAGATCTGGCTGGTGGACAGGCTGGCAGCGTTACGGATGGGCACACAGCTTCCGACCTGGGAGCTTGGGGGAGTAGGTGAGAGGTTGCATTCTAGGAAGCCACTGGGCTCTGATCTCCCACCTTTCCTCTCCCCACTGCAGTGCACACAGGAAGACGTGTCTTCGGAAGATGAAGATGAGGAGATGCCTGAGGTAGGCTTGCCACCTGAGGCAGCATTGGCAGGAAACTTTCAATCAGCAGCTTTGAGCATCCACAGTGTACAGAGCTCCAGGGTAGCCCTAGCCTGTTTTGCTCAATGGTTAGAGCGTTGGCCCGTGGACTGGAGGGTCCTGGGTTTGATTCTGGTCAAGGACACATACCTCGGTTGCAGGCTTGATCCCTGGCCCCAGACGGGGCATGTGTGGGAGGCAACCGGTCCATATGTCTCTCTCTGTCTCTCTCCCTTCCTTCCACTCTGTCTAAAAATCAGTGGGAAAAAAATATCCTCGGGTGAGGATTAACAGAGCTCCAGTCTAAACTGGGGAGGGAAAAATGCCAGTGAGTAAAGACAGGTTTACTGACCTGGAGGAATGGCCAGTGTAAGAGAGGAGACAGGGCACTCACAGCCAACCACTGAAGACAGTCAAGTGCAAATCTGTTTATACCAAATAGCAACAAGTTAATTTCTTTTCCTTTTTCTTTTTTTTAAATCCTCACCCGAGGATATTTTTCCATTATTTTTAGAGAGAGTGGAAGGGAGAGGGAGAGACAGAAAGAGAAACATTGGACTGGTTGCCTCCCGCACTAGCCCCGACCTGGGGCCGGGGATCCTGCCTGCAACCGAGGTACGTGCCCTTGACCGGGAATTGAACCCGAGACCCTTCCGACCATGGGCCACTGCTTATCCACTAAGCCAAACTGGTCAGGCTGCAGCAAGTTAATTTCAGATGGCTTTGAGCAGGCCTGGGTTTGCATCCTGTATCTCCGAGGTTATCTTAAGTTGGGAATTTTACCTAATTTTACTAAGCTGCAGTTTCCCTATTTATAAAACAGAATTATGGTATCTACTATATATGGTTGTCTTAAAGATTAAATGAGGCATTGCATGTAAAATGCTTCATGCAGTACATAGTGCTAAACAATTTATCTGATATATTTTAAAAACATAGATATTTCTGCATAATATTACAATTAAGAACTTGAGCTTCGGAGCCAGACAGATTTGATTCGCATTTTAGCTCTGCTAAGAGTTGTATGACTTTGGACATGAGAATTAACATTACTAGACCTCAGTTCCTTACCTGTAAAAACGGGAGTAACGATAACATAAAGGCACAGTGGTTGTAAGAATTAACTGAGCTAGTGTGTATGGCATCCAGTATAGTGCCCGACATAATGAACGTTCGGTAGATGTCAGCATCGAGGTGATAATTAGGAAGTCAGTATCGCCGTGTCCTGCTAGAGCCAGATCACTGGGATTGCTTTGTCTCCAAGCATTGCATTAATGTCCCAGGTTCTATAACTTTGTTAAGGTCTTAAGACACAAGAGACTCATGACACATGAAACTTACTCCTGTCGAGAGTAGAGAGCCCTCTGCGCCATCACCCAGCATCTAACAGAGGGTTCACATCCTGGATATGGGCTTTCCCATCATGCACAGTGGACTCTGTGCGTGACCTCTACCAAGCTCCCTCGCTGGGCCGCCTTCCTCATTCCCCTCTCGTCAGTGGTGCCTGTGCTGACTCAGGTCATGCACCTGGGCGGGCATGAGGTTTCTGATCCAGGTTCCTCCTTTAACCTGGAGTCCTGAGAATTCTTGGGTACAGTAGTCACCTGGTGAAACATGATCTCTCACAGTGTCAGGCCAAAGTCATTCTAGGAATTAAGAGCTGCTGCCAAGGGAGAGTTTTAGGAACGTTGGAGCAGGGTCAGGCTGGGAGACGAGGAATGAGTCTCTGCTTCCCTAGACCCGTACGTGGTTCTGCTGTAGGACTGAATGGGAGGGGGTTTGCCTTGTCCTTTAGGTTGTGGAGGGAATGGGGCTGGGAATTATTGCCGGAACAGAAAGGATGCTGTGTTCCTTAGCTTGCTGGAGAGTCCATTGTTCCTTAACTTGCAGCTCTAGACCAAATGGGGCTGGGAAGGCGATGGCCCCTCTCCACAACCTGTGTTGGTTTCTTTTCTCTATCCCATCCCACCTTCAGGACACAGAAGACCTAGATCACTATGAAATGAAAGAGGAAGAGCCAGCTGAGGGCAAGAAATCGGAAGATGATGGCATCGGAAAAGAAAACTTGGCTATCCTAGAGAAAATTAAAAAGAACCAGAGGCAAGATTACTTAAATGTACGTACCTTCTAGGGAGAGGCTGGGCCAAGGGGTGGTGGGTACTGGCTAGAAGGTGGTAGGCCATCACCTATCAGTCTGGGAGCAGTGTTTTCTGGGGTGAGTTATGGGTGTGCCTAATCCTTGCTCAGATCCTGAACAAGCTGCCAGACTGCCCCTAAGGTCTAGGTGTGTGTTTCCAAACCACATGACCCTGAGAGGTTTGTCTTCCCTCCCCTGCAGGGGGCAGTATCTGGCTCGGTGCAGGCCACTGACCGGCTGATGAAGGAGCTCAGGGATATATACCGATCACAGAGTTTCAAAGGTGGTGAGTTTGCCTCAGGGAAGGGCCTGGACAGGAGCTTCTCTAAGGATACGAGTCAGAATGGAGCTCCTCAAGCCAGGGGCTTCGATTGGCTGCATGTCCATGGGGTGCACCGGGAGCCTTTGGTATTTTTCTTCTCAGTCTGGGTGGATCCTCAACTGGACCATCCTACTAACCCCTGCCTTCCCGCCTTCCAGGAAACTATGCAGTCGAACTGGTGAATGACAGTCTTTATGATTGGAATGTCAAACTCCTCAAGTGAGTGGGGCTCTGGGATTGGAAAGGAAGTTGAGGCCCAGTATGTGGGGAGCCACTGTGCTGGGAGTCTCGGGCAGTCCCAGGAGCAGGTGTGGGCAGTGGGTGTCCCTCTGCTGCTAGCCAGGGGAAGTGGGGGTCGACACAAGGCTCCTGAGCTAGGACAAGGAGTCAGCCCAGACTCATTGCTTCATAGAGTTGACCAGGACAGCGCTTTGCACAACGATCTCCAGATCCTCAAAGAGAAAGAAGGTGCAGACTTCATCCTACTTAACTTTTCCTTTAAAGTAAGTCTTTTCCCTTCCAGCCCCTCCCTCCTGGCCGAGGCCTCCTTCTCCACCGTACAATCTTGTGGCAGATCCTGGCCTCCCCGCCAATCATTGCCTTTGTCTCTCACAGGATAACTTTCCATTTGACCCACCGTTTGTCAGGGTTGTGTCTCCAGTCCTTTCAGGAGGGTGAGTGGCTGAGGGCAGCTCCTGTTACAGAAGGTGAGAAAGGGGCGTGAGCTTTTGCCAGGCACAACTGACTAACCTTTCTCCTGCAGGTATGTGCTGGGTGGAGGTGCCATCTGCATGGAACTTCTCACCAAGCAGGTGAGCCTGTCTCTTGCTCTTGGTCAGGCTGGCCAGGGCCGGGCTCGGTGAGCTTCACCGCACGCCTCTGTGGCTTTCGGGTGATGGGCTCAATGTGGCCCTTTCACCCGTTGACCCAGACAAACAGGTGGTGGCTGTTCCAGGCGTGAGGGGCAGGACCCCTTCCACAGACGCAGCTCCTTGCTGGAGAGCAGGTGTGAGGTGTCTGGGAACTCTGCTGACTTGCTGCTCCCCCCGTTTCCAGGGCTGGAGCAGTGCCTACTCGATAGAGTCCGTGATCATGCAGATCAGTGCCACACTGGTGAAGGGGAAAGCACGAGTGCAGTTTGGAGCCAACAAAGTAAGGAGCTGGGGCTGCTGGGCGGGCTGGAGCCAGTTATCATTTGGGCCACTAGCAGGCCCAGGCCGCCCTCTCTGAGGGGCCAAGCGGATGAGGCATCGGATGCGTGGGCCTGGGACACCATGGTGGGAACAGGAGAGGGCCTTGGCCTGGGGGGCTGCCTAAGGCTTCGGGGAGGACACAGGTCTGGAAAGGGAAGGCTATGGGATTGCATCCCCGAGGGGCCTACAGGTGGGGGCACTTCTATGTTAACAGAGCACAAGTTTGGGTCTCTGGGTGACAGTTCATGGAAGGAGGGGCAGTAAAGCCGCAGCTGGCCATGGCCTGACCTGGCGGCTTCCTCTCCCCAGTCTCAATACAGTCTGACAAGAGCACAGCAGTCCTACAAGTCCTTGGTGCAGATCCACGAAAAAAACGGTGAGGCTGGAGCCAGGACTCGGGATTCGGACGCTCGGAAGGCCTGAGGTTTTCCCTTCCAGCCAAGTAGCAAGGACCCCCTTCTGGTTTCTGAGCCTTTCTCACCCATTAACACAGCACCTGCCCGTTACCCAGAGAAGGGCTGGAGGTGGCTACCCCCACTGCCTCCTTTCTAGAAAAGCACCAGCCATCATATTCCCTGTGGACTCGGTGCTGCCCCTTCCCGACCACCTGTGAGAAAGCTCACCTCACCCTGTCATCTCGGGCTGGGCACAGCCTCTCCCCTTGCTTATGCTCTCCAGGTAGGCAGTCTCCCTGCCCCTGCACCTCTCCCCGCACTGGAAGCCCTGCCTAGGGTCATTTCACCTGTCACCTGGAGTCTTCAGTGCTCGGGGCTGGGAGCAGGGACTTCAGCCTCCACCTCACTGTTGGGTTTCTTTGCAGGCTGGTACACACCCCCAAAGGAAGATGGCTAACCCTGGAGCGCCGTCCCCCTCCTCCTTCCCCAGGCACCACTGGACCAATTACCTTTGAATGCTGTATTTGGATCTCACGCTGCCTCTGTGGTTCCCTCCCTCATTTTTCCTGGACGTGATAGCTCTGCCTATTGCAGGACAATGATGGCTATTCTAAACGCTAAGGAAAAAAACAAACACCGAACTGTTTCAAGTACTCAAGACTGACTTACAGACCAACCAACCACCTGGCTGGAACCCTTGCTAGCAGGCATTCTTATAAAAGAAACTTTTGAGCCTCCTTATATTGCTGGAAACTCAGCTGTGCTCCAGACTAGAGCCTCCTTACCTATGCTATGGATTTTTAATTTATTTTCTCTTATTTCATGTACACTGCTTTTTTTGGTTACAGTGTATGATGGATGTGTATGAAAAAATGTATCTTTGGGAAAACAATTACAGTTTGTTAATTTGAAGATGCTGGTCTTGACTCATCTTTCTTTTTGTTCCCATATCCACCCCACCCCCATCCCCGAAACTATTTGGGTGGTGGGGGAGGGGTCGAGAAGAGAGGCTGCACTTCACTGCTAAAGCCAGAGGAAGGTGGATTCCGTCTGAAGGCCTCTGGAGCGACCAGCACCCGTCCCCCTGGCATGCAGAGCCTGCCCTGCTGAGCCACGGTGTAACGGGCTGAAATGATGACCTTAATTCTTAGGACGACTTTTCTCTTCTACTTGCAGATGTTTTCAAATTTCTAAGAACAAGGAAATGGGAAAGGAGGCTTACCAGGCTGCTGTTTCATGGAATTGCTTTTAAATGAGTTGAGTGGTGATGGAGGCAGTCTCGTGTGTACTCAGCCTCTGGTCTCAGCAGTGTGCTCTGTGTGCCACAACTCCGGTGTTCGCCGATCCCTCCCTCCCGGGAAACGGCTTCTGGCTAGCTTCTTTGCTCACCCTCCTCTCTCTCACTTCCCTTGGTCTCGTAAGAGAAAACAGGTATAGCTCTGAGATTGTTTGGCTTGAAAAATTGGGGATTCTTTTCAAGCCACTTCCATAAGATGGGTCCTCTGGGAAGGTTAGCTTTCAGGGGGCTGTTGTGTACACCTGTGTCCCCACCCCAGGCTCTGGGAACTGCTGGGCGGGGAGAGTGAGGTAGGAAGTCCGCGGGGCTGGAACCGTCAGTGCTGTGTTGTCTGTACATGCTGTTTAAAAGGAAGGGTATGAGGTCTGCGTTTGACGCTGCCTGCCTCCCGTCAGTGAGCTTGCGTTGGGGTTGAGACAGGCTCTGAGGGACAGACTATGCCTGCAGACGAGGTGATGACCGCAATAACAAGCCAGGGATGGCTCAGTGACGATGCTAGTCTTAGCCCAGAATTGAGAGCGCTGCCTGGGCGCCTGTAGGATGTCAGTTCTGTAATGCTTTAACATTGGTCATTTCCCCCCATTTTCTTTTAAGGGATTAATGTCTTGCTGCTTCAGGTGGATGGAGAGTTCAACAGTCCCCCTCAATGCTGCTCTAACTCTACCCACACCCACCTGATATGGGGTGCTAAAGTTTAGATAAAGTGGGGACCCTAGGGGCAAACTTATTCCATAGAGCGGAAATCTGGTTTTCAAGGCCTTTGTGGCTTTCTTCTGAACTTATCACCAGCCCTGGCTGAAATGTAGATTGTGTTTTTAGTAATGTGTACTGTGAGCTGTCCTCTGTATAATGTATTTTGTAATGTATTTTTCTCATCTACCAAAGGATGAAACAAATAAAGTTATTTAAATAGTTTGGCTCTAATCAATTTTTTTAAAGAAATAATGGGGTCCCTGTTCCCCTGCCATAAGGGAGGCACCAGCTCCTGTGAGTTGTACGGCAACGCTCAGAGAACCCTCCACTTTCTTGTCAAACCTAATATTCCCTTTATGACCTGAAGTTTAGGGTTCTCATGGCGTTACAAATCATGGGAGAATCAAGGCCATATCGTGAATCAGTTTCCTTCTAAGGCAAGAAGAAGTGAAACAGCTCTTTGAGGTCAGTATCCTACACCTCAATCTCCATCCCAGGCAGGGTCTGCCCAGCCCAGAGCCCGCAGCCAGAGCTGAGTAAGAGCCTGAGACAGCTCACCTCACTGCCGTGGGTAGGGGAGGGCAGAGATGGGGAGAGGTGGCCCGACAGGAATCAATCACCCAAACTTGTGAACCGTGCCAACATTTATTCTCCATGGTGATGGCTCACTGGTTAAATGTTCCCCACCTGGTTCTACAATGGAATCCCAGGAAAATAAAGCCGTGGGCCCTTCCATTCTCCAGAATCTCCAGAATCTGTTGGAGCAGTTTATATCATGCTCCGGGGGCACAAAAAAAGAGACAAAATAAATACATGGCCACCTGAAGCTTCCCATGTAAGCTTCCTAGGTTTGGTTCAAATGTCCATACTGAGTGGGGAACTGAAGACACAAGACAAAGTTGAGACTTTTCTGAGAGGAGCTGAGGGTAAAGGCAAATGCAAATCAAATCAATCCTGGGCACCAGTGTGGCCTTGCGAGTGGAAGGGGGACACAGGTCAGGGCAGGCAGGGGGAGGGGGAGAGAGAGGGGGCACGAAGAATATATAAAGGAGGGAGGGAGCTGATGCTAGCTACATCATCTTAACTCTTCAAACTTCAGGATTTGTGGCTGCAAGAGAAAGAGAAAGTCTCAGTGGGAAGGAAGGACCACCGCAGCCAGTCTACCTGACCCCTTGGGTAACTTCAGGTTGTTTTGTCTAAGCCTCTAAGGGAACGCCAGATAAATCCGCAATCCAGGCCTTGGCACTGGCCTGCAGCTGAGCCCTGGGGTGGGAGGAGAGGGAGCAGGGCTGAGTGAGATACGGGGCAGTTACCTCCAAGTTCAAAGCGCCAGTGATCTTCCCTTTGAGGATGTGATGGGTCAGCTGATATGAACTCAAAATGCCTGCGAAACAAAACACAACAACAAAACCCTGGTGGCACTGGGTCAGGCAGGAGGAGCAAGGGAGGGAAGTGGGAGGCCAGGCCTCGGGGAAATGCAGAGCAGCTCCTACAAGTCTCTGCTAGTTAGGGCTGCCTCCCTGCTGCAGGATAAACCGAGATAAAGCTGGCAGGGGGTTGGGGGGGGGGTGCATGAGGAATATATAAAAGGAGGGGACATTATTACTGTTACTGGAATAATGACACAAATCTGGGATTTCACATTCTCTCTTCATATATATATATATATATATATATATATATATATATATATTTAAATTTCAGAGATGAAGGGAGGGAGGGAGAGAGAAACATCGATGAGAGAGAATCATTGATCGGCTGCCTTCTGCACACCCCACACTGGGGATCAAGCCTGCACCCTGGGCATATGCCCCAACCGGAAATCAAACTGTGACCTCCTGGTTCACAGGCCGAAGCTCAACCACTGAGCCATGTCAGCTGGGCGGATTTCACATTCTCTAATGGGAAATTCTGGGGACAGAAAACTTCATCCTCTCTGCTCTGAGCATCTGCGCTAGAGGGAGAGAGGTCAGAAGCAGATGCTCTCACCATGAGCATGTTTACATGCTGGAACGAGGCAGGGCAGGCCGCCGGTCAAAATGTCAGCTCCTGCCGAATCTGGGACTGTCTGCGCATGAGACTGACCATGCTAAAGCCGGACCTCACTTCCACCCCGGCCATGCCCCTTTCTTGCTGTGAGAGGTGAGGAAGTTCCTTTCACCTTTTTGAGCTTTGCTTTCCTCATCCATCCGGGGAGGACTGTCCACCACCTGCCTGACCTCTCGGGCCATCTCCAAGTCCAGGAGGGAGCTCAGCACAGCCCATGTCTGGGCTGGGCACTCTGGCCCCTAACAACCGCGCAGTCCCCTTCAGCCTGCCCCCCACTCCAGAGCCCTGGCCCTGTTCCCCCAGGCTGGGCAATTACCCAAGATGACCTGTGGGTGGTGCTCCTGACCACTAGGCACCGTTCCCCTCAGCCTCCCAGGGGTGAGGGGGCCTGGGCCTACACTTGGGGAGTGAGTGTGTCTGTCTGTCTGTCTGTCTTCACCTCTGCTTCTCCTGATCCCCCAAAGCATTCTTTCATCCTTTCAGAGTCGCTCCGCTTTCACCGGTTTTATGTACATTGGGTTTTGCTTAAGATTTCATTGGGAGAGGATTCTGTTACAGAAGAAAACTAGAATCTGAAAACAAATGGTTAGGTGGAGGACACTGGGCTTGGGGCCTTCTGTTGATGTGCTGTTCCTTTAGACCAGCGGTTCTCAACCTGTGGGTCGAGACCCCTTTGGGGGTCGAATGACCCTTTCACAGGGGTCGCCTAAGACCATCAGAAAACACATATATAATTACATATTGTTTTTGTGATTCATCACTAGGCTTTAATTATGTTCAATTTGTGACAATGAAATTGGGGGTCACCACAACATGAGGAACTGTATTAAAGGGTCGCGGCATTAGGAAGGTTGAGAACCACTGCTTTAGACAGAGCAGCGCTGGCAGAAGCAGGGGTGAGAAGCCTGCCCTCCCTCCCTGCACCCCGAGAGCTAAGCCTTTGGACAGCACCTGCTGGGGCCTGTGGAGCCCAGGTGTGAAAACTAATACCCAAGAGGCAGCTCTGCAAGAGGCAGATGCCAAAAACCGGGGAAAGATCAAATGACTAGAGGCTTAAGGGTACCCTGAGGGCCTTGGCTGCCCCCACACCCTCCCCCACTGAGGTCCTGGAGGCAGACACAGCATCTCCCACCCCTGGGCTGGGGGGGAGGGGGTGTCGGAGGGCATCTTACCTTTCCTCAGCATGAAAGGCTGAGTCAGAGGGGGGATGGTCCAGAAGTCATCACTATCCAGGCTGCGCAGACACTGCACCGGGACGGTGGCCGACTGGCCAAAGTCGACGAACAAGACCACAGCCCAGGTATCCACCCTGTCCACTACCCAGCACCTGGCCAGAGGGAGGGAGGAACGGAGGGCTGTTCCACCTGGCGGCACGCACGGCGGTCCTTCACAAAGAGGCTCAGAGGTCAAGGCTAACGGAGCAGAGTTTCCTTCGTTCCCCCCTTCCTCGGGCAGAGAAGTGATCATAGTCACAGATCTCGGGAGAGGAAGCAGCAAGAAAGAAACCGGAGTCCCGAGGAGGGAGAAGGGAAGGAGTGTCTGTCCGCCGGCCTCTCTCACACTGTCCACCCTTAGGCCGTCCACCCCTGCCGGGCACATACCTGTTCCAGGCCCGGCCGTACGTGCCCAGGTGGTACTCGGCCAGGCAGCGGGCCCCGCGCTGCACGGCTGCGTCCTGCAGGTAGGGCTGCTGCTCCTCCCGCCTCGGCCAGGGTGCTGAAGAGCGCCCTGCATGTTCTGGTGCAGAGTCTGCAGGTGGCACACATGCGCAGGCCTCACTGCCTGCAGCACATCCCACGTCTGGCTCTGCAGGCGTCCCCTGCTAGGCCAGCACCACTGACCGACCCCCAGGGAACCAAGGTCCAGGCGGGAGAGAGGAAGACTCGGGACCCGGGGATTAGAATGCACTCGTCTGGACGCCGCCGCGGACCGGCCCATCACCACCCCCACCCCGGGAAGGCTCTGCGAGGAGGCGCCGAGCCCACGCAGGCCACCAACAAGCCCATACCTCCGTGACGTGCATGGCCCAGAAGAACGGGGTCCGAGGGACAATACTGGTCACCAGCAGCCCCACGTCCCCGCCGGTGTGGCAGATGGTGGCCAGCCAGCCCGGGTCGCGGAAGCATTCCCTCAGGAGCGGCACCAGGAAGGAGCCTCTGGGGGAAGAGCCGTGGGACATGGGGTGAGCGAGTGAACGAGGTGACCAACCTGGTCCTGGAGGAGGCAGGGCAGGACGGTCACCCTGGGTCAGGTCCACCCCTCCAGGGAGGGGATGAGTACATAACGCAGAATGAAGGCAGCACCAGGGCAGGGGGGAGGGGGAGGGGAGAGGGAGATTGAGAAGGGGGCGGGTCCTAGAGGAAAACACACACACACCCAGGCTCCCACAGACAGGTGGGCCCTCACTGGGCCGACGACCTGAAGCACGGGGTGGACTGTCCAAAACCCAGGACACGTCTTCAATCCTCAAATCGCTCCTCCTGTGTCTACGTCATGCCCAACTCCAGCCTCCCACCCACTAACTCCATCACCTAAGGCACCCGTGTGGTCAGCAAGGCAGACCTGTTGCCGTGGAAAAACACACAAACCACTCGTCCTACAGCGAGTTCCTGTCCGAGATGATCCCGGCATCTCTGACATGACGAATGGTGTCCACTGTTAAAGCAGACGACGTGGTGGGCATGATGGCCGCATGGGACCCGGGGTGGGGGGGACAGTCACAGGCCTTCACTGTCCCAAAACGGAAACAGATTTTCTTAGGTCCCTGTGGGTCTGGTGCCGGAGCTCCTGAGAACTGAACTCCCACATGGGGACCACCCCTACCCACCCTCTAGGGACGGAATGCTGTTTGCAGGCGCCGCTTGCTCTGGTGGGCCCTGCACCCCTCCACTGACCTCATTTCCATGGGGACTGCAAATAAGGGTGTCCTCGGTCTCGCTGTCTTTCGGGGGGCACCGGGAGCTTTGGGGGTGAGCTGGAGATAAGCTGGAGAGCAGGAGAGTGAGTCTTGGAGGCACCAGAGCTGCCCCTGCCCCCCTAGACGCCCTGGCCCCACCCTCAGAGGTAGGACAGGATGGGCCACTCGGCCACGTCCTTCCACACCTCAGCCTCTAGATCAGTGGTTCTCAACCTTCCTAATGCCGCGACCCTTTAATACAGTTCCTCATGTTGTGGTGACCCCCAACCATAAAATTATTTTCGTTGCTACTTCATGACTGTAATGTTGCTACTGTTATGAATCGTCATGAATCATCTGATATGCAGGATGTATTGTCATTGTTCTCGACCCACAGGTTGAGAACCGCTGCTCTAGATCTTCAGCTGGGTGGGGAGGGTGTGCTGCCTGATAGTCATTAATCAAGAAAGCATCCCGGAGGAATAAACAGGGGTATTTCCCCCACGGAGAGGCCCACAGGGGGCAGAGCTGAAAGGGGGGCTGGGAGAATTGAGTCAGGAGTTGCGAAGACACGTCCTGGGGACTCGGGATCTCACCAGCGATTTCGGCAAATCCTCGACGGGAAGGCCTCTCCAACACCTAGGGAGAAGGAGACAGGCACCGCTCAGGCGCGGCAGCAGTTATCCTATCGGTGTGTACGTGGAGTCGCTCCAAGTGGACTCGGAGGCAAAGTGTCACAGCCCCTGCACCGCCGCCGGCGTCCGCTGAGTCTAACACCCACTCATGCTCTTTCTCGCTTGGACCCTGAGCCAACCAGGAGAAGACGCTCAGAAACAGGGGAGGGGGGGCAGGCGGCGGCAGGGGGGCTCCCGCAGGACTCACAGTCCCAAAGGCCAAACGCGGAGCCCGGGGGGTCCCTGCTGGACCTTCTTGCGGAGGGGGGCGGGGGGAGAGGTGGGAACGGTTACACTGGAAGCCGGGTTACGTGGAGACAGAAAGGTCTGGGTGCCCTGCGCCTCACTACAGCCCTGCAGCCCCCAACCCACGCTGGCTCCCCTCCCCACTGTCCTCGCCTGGAAAACACGCACCCCTGCTTAGAGCCATGTCTCTGCCCGCCCTGCTGCTCCCCTGCTCTGGCCACTGACCGCTGCCAGCGAGCACCTGTGGCCCCTGTTCTCTCCTGGACACACGCTACAGTCCCACCTGAGCCCCTCGTGAGCTTCCTTTCCGCTTCGCCAAACGGACGACTTCACGCCTCTTCAGACCCACCCCACCCCCCACCCCACCGAGGAACCTGCCTCTTTACCAGGTGAAAACTGGCAGCAGTGGGACGGGAGGTCCCCCCTTCTCTCCATGCAAGCCCCGACCCGCCCTCTCCGCCATCCCTCCTGCTGCCCTGGCCACCAGGTACCTGCCCTAACACTCTGGGTCTCGCACCGTCTCGCCTTCTCAAGGACAGCAGCCCTCTCCCTCCCCCATGGCTCTCCCTCTCCTGTGGACGCCTCCCACCAGGAACATGCCCTGTTACCCATGTTTGAGACCCTGGCTTGACCGCACTCCCCTCTAGCTGCCAGCTTCCTCTGCTCCGCCGCTGGCAGTGCTGAGTCCTGTCTGCTTCCCCACCTGACACTTCCCCGCAGCACAGTCCAACGAGGCCGCCTTGAAACCGCTCGCACCGGGTCAGCGTGACCTGAGAGCTGCTGTATCCTCATGTTCTCCGCGCTGAGCTCACCGGCGGTATTCCACCCACTCCCTCTTTCTAGAAACACTGCTCCCCTGGCCTTCCTTGACATTGCACACGTCCGGTCTTCCTCATCTTTCACTGGCTGGCCCTCTAATAATATTTTAATTGATTTCAGAGAGGAAGGAGAAGGGGAGAGAGCTAGAAGCATCAATGATGAGAGAGATCATTGATTGGCTGC